ACTACTACTACTACTACTACTACTTACTACGATTACTACACTACGACTACTACTACTACTACTACTACTACTACTACTACTACTACTACTACTACTACTACTACTACTACTACTACTACTACTACTACTACTACTACTACTATACTACTACTACTACTACTACTACTACTACTACTACACTACTACTACTACTACTACTACTACTACTACTACTACTACTACTCTACTAATACTACTACTATATACTACTACTACTACTACTACTACTACTACTACTACTACTACTACTACTACTACTACTACTACTACTACTACTACTACTACTACTACGACTACTACTACTACTACTACTACTACTACGACTACTGCTACGACTGCTACTACTACAGCTAATACTACTACTACGAATACTGCTACTACTACTACTACTACTGCTGCTGCTGCTGTTACTACTACTACTACTACTACTACTACTACTACTACTACTACTACTACTACTACTACTACTACTTACTACTACTACTACTACTACTACTTACTACTACTACTACTACTACTAACTACTTACTACTTACTACTACTACTACTACTACTACTACTACTACTACTACTACTACTACTACTACTACTACTACTACTACTACTACTACTACTACTACTACTACTACTACTACTACTACTACTACTACTACTACTACTACTACTACTACTACTACTACTACTACTACTACTACTACTACTACTACTACTACTTACTACTTACTACTACTACTACTACTACTACTACTACTACTACTACTACTACTACTACTACTACTACTACTACTACTACTACTACTACTACTACTACTACTACTACTACTACTACTACTACTACTACTACTACTACTACTACTACTACTACTACTACTACTACTACTACTACTACTACTACTACTACTACTACTACTACTACTACTACTACTACTACTACTACTACTACTACTACTACTACTACTACTACTACTACTACTATCACTCCCACTCCGAGACTCTTCCTCCCCCTCCTCCTCCTCCTCCTCCTCCTCCTTCCCCGGGCGGGGGGGGATGGCGATGGGGGAAGGCATGGCCTGTGGCGCTGGCACTCCGGCGTGACGTCCTCGCGCGGGGGGCTCTGGCCGCACCGGCCAGACGGGCGGATGGACGGATGCTCACAGGCCTCACGATCTCACTGAGATCGTTTTCTTCCGGTTCTTCGGGTTATCTGGTGGAGGGGCGGGGAAGAGCCGGCCGATCACCCAACCTTTTCGCTCGGGGCAACTGCACACATGCCCGCGCGAGTCAGTGTCTCCCCATTTCGGACCTGCGCCAGCGACAGGGTTAGGTAATCCAACGGAGGGGAGGGGGGGTGCGGGCGGGCCAGATAGCCCGGGCCATCGCTGGACCCTTCAAAAAAGCATCCCAAACGCAGGAGGCAGGAGCGCAGCGGTGGCGACGCGGCGCCGAGCACTCGAGAGAGAGCTGGGGGGGGTCTCTGGCCGGGGGTGTTCGGTGGCAACTCGTGGGAGCCTCCCATACCATCTTGTCGGCTCTTGCGAATCGACGCTGATCGACGCACGCAAAATCGACGCTAATCGAAGCTAAATCGACGCTAATCGACGCTAACCAACGCTGAATCGGCGCTATCTCATCAACTCTAGACGCTACTCGACGCTAATCGACGCGATAGACGGAATGAAGAGGGTATACCAGGCTCCCATGATTTGCTACCGAAGGAGTGGCCGTTCATCACCCTCATTGATCGATTGGTTGCTCGATGTTTCCCAGTATCTTCGGAAGGAAGGGGGGGCTTCCCAGCAGCGATCCAAGAAAGCCGCGCGGAGCCCCGAATCTTCATGTTGTTGGTTTTTTCCCTACCTAGGCTCTGCCTAGAGGGTTCTTACTCTCTTTCTTAAAGGGGCCGGGCAGTGGAAACCGCCCCAGGCGGTTCCCCCGGTATCCGCCCCGCGGTTCCCCCAGTTGCGCCCCCTGGGTTCACCCAGCTTAGTTTAGCTAATCTTAGCTTAGCTTAGCTTAGCTTAGCTTAGCTTTGCCTAGCCTAGCTTAGCCTAGCTTAGCTTTGCTTAGCTTAGCTTAGCTTAACATCGCTTAGTTTGCCTTAGCTTTGCTTAGCGCAGCGCAGCATAGCGCAGCGCAGCATAGCATCACATAGCATAGCATAGCATAGCCAAGCATAGCACAGCATAGCATAGCTCAGTATATCATAACTCAGTATAGCATAGCATAGCATAACATAGCATAGCGCAGCATAGCATCACATAGCATAGCATAGCATTGCTTAGCATAACACAGCGCAGCATAGCATAGCATAGCACAGCATAGCACAGCATAGCATAGCATAGCATAGCATAGCGCAGCATATCATAGCATAGCATAGCATGGCATAGCATAGCGCAGCATAGCATATCATAGCATAGCCTAGCATAGTATAGCGCAGCATATCATAGCATAGCATAGCATGGCATAGCATAGCGACGATGAGGAGAAGGAGGAGGACGGCGTTTACCGCTCCTACTAATGTTGCTTTCCTAGAGGCTCAAACTCCTAGGTAGGGTCGCACTGGGATAAGTTCTCCTCTTCGGCGTAGAAGTTACGAAGCCCGATTAGGGGGCCATGCAACTGCATTGAGCCAGATTAAACCTGGGATTAGACCGAATTGAGCCGTATTAAGCGGGATTTAACATAATAAAATGGGATGATGCCGGATTAGGCTGGCTTCGACCACGGATATACCAGCGCCGATGCTGAATCCCACCAGCGCTTGAGGGCGTGGGTGGGTCAGGGCGTTTCCTCTTCCAACCCTCTTTTTCCCCCTCGGGCAGGGTCCCTGGGTGTGGTGCGGACGGGGGGGGTCGCGGGTAGTTGCAGCGCCCAAAATGGCCCAAGATGGCTCCAAGAGAGCCATAAAGAGGCCAAGATAGCCTCCAAGATGGCCCAAGACAGCGCGAGGCCGCTCAAGATGGCTACCAGCATACTCCAAGAAGTCCCAAGACCGCTCCAAGACGGGTCCAAGCGGCCTGGCGGGCTCCCCAAGATAGCTCCAAGAGGGCCCAAGAGAGACTCAAGAGGGGCCCAAGAGGGCTCCAAGGCGGCCCCAAGAGCGCCAAGAGCGCCCCAAGAGTGCCCATTGAAGGCCCCGAGAGATAATTTAGGGGCTCTCGAGCGGCGACGCAAATCAAGGACCTCCCTTCTTTGATCGAGGGCCCCAAGAAAGCTCCAAGAGGCCCAAGAGAGCCCCCAAGGCTCCCAAGAGGACCCAAGAGAGCTCCAACGGTGCCCCAAGAGACCCCCAAGAGGCCCCCAAGAGGCCTCCAAGACGCTCCAAGGCCCCCAAGAGACCGCCCTAGGAGGCCACCAAGAGCCCCCCAGGAGATATCCCAAGCGACTCCGAAAGGCATTCAAGAGGCCTCTGGTTGACTGAGGCTCCCCGAGGTATCCGAACGAAGTCACGCTCTCCCGAGAGGGCAGCTCCCCTAGGCATGGATCCTGGCTGGGCCGGTGTGGGTGCATCTTGAGGAGGAGGGATCTACTGGATGCTCGCAAGCCATTTCGGGAGTAGGTACTCACAGGCCCCAAGGCCGGCGCCCCTACGACAGGCCGCCGCGGGCAGTTCCGCGGGCAGGGCGCGCAGCGAAGCGTTGACAGCGCACTGGAAAGACCGCGGAGGGAGAAGGGATCAACTAGGTGGCGACATCCGACCCCTACCCCCACCAACAGTTGATTCTCTTGAACCGATAGGAGGCGGGGGTAGGGCTCGGATTTCACCACGTGTTCGACGACTGCCGAACCCGATCCCCGCCGCACATCGAGGTGCTCGAATCGTTGATCGGAGAGGGTAGGGTTCGGATGCCGCCGCCAATCAACTGGGCGGCCTGAGCGGGGGCAGCGATGATCTGTGCAGCGTGGTGCCTGCTATCAGCTTCGGTCTCCGCCGAGAGGGCCGACGGCTCCTTGCCTGCAGAAAGGCTCCGACGGCGTGTCCCGGGACGTCGGTTTCAGGAGCGGGAGGGGCCAATGGCCTCGAAGAAGCAGGGCAGAGCGCCCTCCCCCACCCCAAGACACGCAGAGGGCGAGGGGGGAGGGCGCCTCGGGTCTCGGTCTGGATCGGCAGGCGCCCCCCCCGGCAGCCGTGAGCGGCGGGAGGTCGCTCCCCCGAGGGAGCCCGCGCGGGGGCCGAGGACTGCCGCGGGGAGGCGGCACATCCGGGCCCTGGCCGGGGGGCTGCGGCCCCCCCAAGAGCATGGCCGGATGCAGAGGTGACGCCCAGGCCACCCGACTTCGCGCACCGCGCGAGCATCGTCGCGCTCCCGCGCCCTCACGCCGCACCTCTGAAGGCGGGGCAGCCGCTCTGGCCCGGACCGCAGACTCGCGAAGTGAACGACTGCCTTCGCGCCCCCATCTGAGCATCGTTTGACCGATCCTGTCCCAACTGGCGTGGCCCGTACCCCACTGGCCGATTGAACTCCCCCGAGATGGAGATCTAATCAGGCTGTTCCCTTCGAGTGTCCAGGGGCACATCCCCAACCGGGATGGGATCATGGGGATGGGGATGGGGATCGGTTGAATGATTCTGACCCTCGGGTGACCTAGGCTGCGGGGAGGGGGGGGGAGAGGCTGATGCAGCGCTGGCACGCGGCACGGGCCGTGCTCCCGCCAGAAGAAAGGAGGAGGAGGAGGAGGAGGAGGAGGCGAAGGAGGAGGAGGAGAAGGAGGAGGAGGAGGAGGGGGGGGAGGAGGAGGGGGAAAGGGAGGAAGAGGAGGAGAAGGGGGAGGAAGAGGAGGAGGAGGAGGAGGAGGAGGAGGCGAAGGACGAGAGGAGAGAGGAGAGAGAAGAGAGGAGGAGGCAGAGGACGAGAGGAGAGAGGAGAGAGGAGAAAGAAGAGAGGAGGAGGAGGAGGAGGAGGAGGAGGAGGAGGAGGAGGAGGAGGAAGGGCAGGAAGAGAAAGAGAAGGAGCCTGCGAGCCTGTACCTGTATGCCTCCGTGCTCCCTCCCCGCACTCAAATCTCGGCAACACCTCCCTGTACCTAGTTCATGATACCGGAGAAAAACCAATCAAAGTCTTTTTAGGGCTACAGGGCTATGGGGCTATTGGGCTGCAGGGCCATGGGGTTATGGAGCTATAGGGTTTATGAACTATCGGGCTATAGGGCCATAGGGATAGAGGTCCATAGGGCTATAGGGCTAGAATCACTGCTATAATGCCATAAGGCTATATGGCAGTACGGCTATAGGGCTATGGGGCTATGAAGCTCTGGGGCTATGGGGCTATAGGGGTATAGGGCTATCGGGCTATAGGGCTACTGAGCTATTGGGCTATAGGGCTGTAGGGCGATTGGGCTATGGGTCTATAAGCCCACAGGGCTATGGGGCTATGGTGCTATACGGTTATCGGCATACAGAGCTACAGGGCTATAGGGCTATAGGGCTATCGGGCTATAGGGCTTTGAGGCTATAAGGCTATAAGACTATAGGGCTCTAGGGCTATAGGGGTTATCGGGCTATGCATATACTGGCCTATAGGGTTATAAGGCTATAGGGCTATAGGGCTATAGAGCTATAGGGCTCTAGGGCAATAGAGCTATAGGGCTATAAGCGTGTAAGGCTATAGGGCTGTAGGGCCATAGGGATATTGGGCTATAAGGCAAAATGGGCTGTAGGGCTGCAGTGGGGCTATAGGACTATAAGGCTCTAGGACTATAAAGCTATAGGGCGATAAGGCACCCGGGCAGCCGGGCACCTGGGCAACCGGGCACCCAGGCACCCGGGCCCCCGGGCACCCGGGCACCTGGGCGGGCCGCAGAAATCGGTGGCAAAGCTCACCTAGCCAAATGATACCGGAGCAGAACCCCAATCATAATTTTTTTTCGGGCTACATGGCTATGGGGCTATGAGGATATAGGGCCGTAGCACTATAGTTCTATAGGGTTCTAGGGCTATAGGGCTATAGGGTCATAGGGCTATAGGTCTGTAGGGCTATAGGGTTATGGGGCTATGGGGCTCTGGGGCTATGGGGCCATAGGGCTATAGGACTAGGGCTATGAGGCTGTAGGGCTACAGGACCATAGAGTATAGGAGTGTAGGGTTATACGGCTATAAGGCTATAAGGCTGTAGGGCTATAGGGCTACACGGCTATAGGGCGTAGGGCTATAGGGCTATAGGGCTACAGGGCTATAAGACTATGGGGCTATAGGGTTATAGGGCTATAGGGCTATAGGGCTATAGGGCTATAGCACTATAGGGCTATACTTAGGGCTATAGGGCTATAGAGCTCTATGGCTATAGGGCTATAGGGCTATAAGGCTAAAAGGCTATAGGGCTATAGGGCTATAGGGCTATAGGGCTATTGGGCTGTAGGGCTATAGGGCTATAGGGCACTTGGGCTATGGGGCTATCGGGGCTATAGGGCTATAGGGCTATAGGGCTATAGGGCAACAAGGCACCTGAACACCTGGGCACCTGGGCACCTGGGCACCCGGGCATCTGGGCACCCGGGCACCAGGGCGGGCCGCGGAAATCGGTGGCAAAGCTCACCTAACCATATGAATATGCTAGGACCCCTACCAAGGCAAGCTCTGTTTGGGAAATGAATCCGCTAGGACCCCTACAGAGGCACGCTCTGATTGGGGAATAGACATCCACGGCGGAAGCAACACCGAAACCTGACCGAACCGACAACAAAGCTGGAACCGACCGAAAACGACAGACCAAAAGCAGATGAGAAAGACGCGCGGCGCAGCGGCCGACCGAATCGAGCCGACCGAGCGCCGTCGACTGTGAGGCTGGAACGACCGAGCTGCGGACACCCGTGCCCTCCCTACCAGGGGCAACGGACGCGCTGGGGCTGCCTGGTCCGGGAGGGGGAGCGGGGGGGGGAGGCAGCAGGAGGCTCGAGTCCTCCAGAGATGCAGGGTGGGAGTCGAACCCCAGCAGCCCGCCGATGTCCGCGCGGCCCAGCACGCCCAGACGCCGCACGGCCACGTTCAGGTGTTCCTGAGTGGGCAGGTCCTGGCGGATTCTGACTTCTGCCGACTCGTTGTGCCACACGTTCGTCAGGCGGACCAAGAACTGGCCGCCCACGGTCGGCGATCCTCTCCTCTCGCGCTTCCTGGAGTGCCAGTGCGTAGTGGTCAGCGTCAGCCGGAAGTCCGAGTTCCCCGCGTCGCCGAAGACCACCTCGGCCTCGTCGGTCCAGTCTGTGATGTTCTCCCATGGCTTCTCAGAGTCAGATCTGCGATTCACGACTCGCATACCCAGAAACTCATCGGCGTCCAAAACTGAATGCGACCGCAGGTACGAGCGTACCTGCAGGGATTGGTCGCCAAGCCACGCTCCAAATAGCTCCACCTGTGTGATGTACGTGGTGCACGGCTTCCCATGCTCTGGGCGTATTTGGGCCTCCAGGGCAATCTCCACGGGCTTGCTGACATCCTGGGGAATCCTCAGCAGCACAAAGCGGCCC